CCATCAAACCCTCATAACCTTCAAGACATGACACTACCGTGTCGGGCGTGGAAAGACACCATGCGACACCCTGAAGTGATGAAATCGACCGAGTGCTTGGCGCACCGAGCACGGGAACAGCAGCACGCAGGCAGCCACGGGCCGTGGCACCAGGCCAAGCAGCTCCTTGTCAAGGCCTGCAGGTGTCAATTTTCGGAGTTACGGTATTACAGTACCGCTTCGGATTGCCGACTTTAGCACGCAGCTAACGACCACGTTTCACATAGATGACGAGCCGTTTAAACAAGAGCTTTAGCACTGCTTCCTCGACTACAACATGGTGAGTTTCTGGGCCCAAGCAAGTTGGACAGCTGGCATCACGTGATACCCCTGCCAGCCTAACACATCGCAGAACTGCCAGCGCGCTGGCAAACCGATCCTGCAAGGATCGGATCCGTTTTACTGTATGGGCTGCTTGCATTCACGGCATCCCCTGCTCACCCGAAACTAGGCTCGCTTGTTTCTCTGCAAGCAAGCACTACGTCTGTCGGCCCCGCCTCTGCGAGAACTCCGTGAACACTGCAGGGTTAGATTCGAGAGCCAGCCAAGGACCTGCCACTGGGGCCAGCTATGCCGTCATGCTTTATGGTTTCAGATTTAAGCGGAATAAGGCTTGTGGTTTCGGGTTTAAGGCCAAGGTCTTAGGTTTCCAGGTCGTTCTGCAACCTGCACTCAAATTCACCACCCGTGGCGCCTGCGCCGCTGTTGCCCTGCTTCCTGGCAGACCGTCGCAACAACAAAGCGCGAATAACAGTGCCTGTTTTGTATGCTAAAATGTACTGACTGTACAAGCCCTCTTTTGCCGCATGCACGGAAGGACGCATGGGAATCTAGAAATCCGGGCCTGAGCTGATCGTTCAACACGGCCAAGTCATCGGAGGCCGGCGCCGATGCCATGGAACAGGCGAGTTTTCAGGGTTTCAATAATAATTACAAGAAGGTTTCTGCTATAGACGTTTGTACGCGGACTTTAAATGTCTATGAATGGGGATTAGTTGCTGCACGAAATTCTCGACATGCGAACCCAACACAAACCTCCAACCCAAGTGCTTATTTTCCTGCAGCATCTGCGGCATCCTTCTTTCTGCTGGTCTCCAACATCCACAAGACTCTGCCAGAAATCATTCGGAACAACTTCTTTCATGCACAATTTGTGTGGCTAAGTTGTCCTTTAAGCCCTTTGAAAATTATTTATTCTTATGGTTCTCTACAAAATAGTAACGGAAATCAAAAAGATCCCAAAAGACAACCCAGGTGGGCACAAGGTTGGCTGGAACCGACGGTGTCGGGAACCGACATCTTGCGGGCTCAAACGTATCACAGCTCCACTACCTTTGTATGTCGGGCGTCGAAGCCCATACGATAGGGTTTGGATGGGGTCGGGATTGAAACCTTAAGACACCCTGCCGCAAACATCCTGAAACGAGATCATTCGTAAGGAGCCCGCAGCCACTGCAGAACGATGCCGTTTCCCCATTGTCGCCTGAGGTGCCGGAGAAAACCGCAGGATGTCCAGGACATTGCATTGCCTACCTACAACGATATGCCTTCCAACAAACACGGAAACAGAATCATTCGTACTCATGGTCCAGGGTGTCCAGGGCTCTTTCGAAGGAAATTCTGGTACGAACGCTATGCTGCTATGCGAGCAAAACGCCCGTCGCAATACAACACGGTTAGTTCTACCCTTCAATTTGCGAACATCTGTTGCAAAAGGGCCAGGAACCCAGGGTCTCTCTGAGGAAGTGGCCACGCCGTGGTCGGCCGTCATCCTGGGCGACTTCCGCTTCACCCCAATCCACTTGAACAGTGTAGTGTTCCGCTGGTTCTCAGGTTTCGAAAATTGTGGGGTGGACCGGGGGAACTGGTGTTGACCTTCGCAATGAGATTGATTGCGATATGCAGCACTGAAGCTTCTAAGGCTTTGGCAAGTAGCGGCGCCTGCATCGCGAAACCTTCATACTCTACCTGCTATTCCGCCCTGCTGCAGCAGCCAAAAAATACGCACATGGAAATGCAACCACACAAGAAGATTTCAATGGCTTGGGCATGCTTATGTTGCACGCTCTACGATGCTCTCGCGTCCGCGTTGTGGGACCGGGCACGAATCCGTGTGCACCAAGGCCAAACACGAATCTGGAACGCCGCCGGTGAGGAGCCCCCCGACATCGCTGACCTTGGCGAAGGTGAAAAGAGCGTCTGGGTCGGAGACTTGACTTTCCCGCCGGAATCGCAAGGTCTCACAGCGCTCGGCTCCCATTTGGGACGTCGCGCGCCAGCTCCGGTGTAAGCGCGACGACCAGGACCGGCTCCTGGCGAGCATCCCCGCCGTCGACGACCTCCAGGCAGCGTGGCTCCTGCTGCGCTTCTGCGCCGCCCCGCGCGCCAATTACCTTTTGCGAACCCTGCCCCCTCACCTCACGGCCGACCTCGCCGCGGAGCACGATGCAGCAGTCGCTCGGTCGCTCGAGGGCTCACAGCCTCCGTCCCTGCGCGGGTACTGAGCCCGAATTGGTGCGGCATGCATGCCTGCTGCTGGGGCAAAGTGCTGCGCCAGCACGCGGCCAACGAGCCGATGCAGGACGTCGCCGATCACGAGCGCGAGCACACGGCTGTTGGGCACTTCTGCAATCAGTTCTTCGGCTCCCTTCGGCTTAATCCTCTTCAAACTGTGCCTGGCGTCGCTCCTGTTCCTCCAACTTTCGACCGCTCTGCCTGGTGTTTTCCACGTGCTGCTGCAAAGCCAAGCACGTGGATTTCATGCTAGCTGGATGGGCAGGCAAATATCCGGAGGAAGATCATCGAGCACCTGGCGCATCTGTACTTCCCCTCACTTTCCGCCGTATAGAGAAATGCAGCTCGTGCAACCTTCAAAACATGCTGAAAACCTCCGCAATGCCGCGGCTACCGCTTGGGC